AGCCCGGGTTGGCCTGGCTCTGAAATGAGGGGCCTGACGGCACGATGTCTGCGGCATCCATCCAGGTCGGAAGGTGAGCCCCGCCCGACCCCCGCCGTCCCGAGGAGTAAGGGGTGCGGGGCCGCCCGGGCCTGACCAGGCGCCCACGCCCCAGCCCCGGGCCCGCACGTACCTGGCTGCACCCGCGCCGCTACACTGCGCTCCTCCGCCGGCCCACCTGGGCTCAGGTAACAAACATTGCGCAACTTCCGGTGGCCGGCGGCGAGCTGGCGAACCCGTCGACCCAGGTATTACCCAAAAAAGAGTGAACGCACGCCAGGCAGCGGCCAGAACCCGAGCCCAGACGCGCTGTAGTGGGCGGGGCGCCTGGACCTGTCCCGGGACCCACTCAGGAAGCTCCCCGGGAGCCGGGCGCTCTCACAGCTGCACTGGCCCCGTCCACGCGAGTCCCCGTGGCCACTCCCGCAAGCGTGCCCACTGCGGAGACAGAGAAACTGAGTCCCCTCCCACCGCCACAGTGCCCACCGTTTAAGTTCACTGTGCCAGGCGTGAGAAAGTGCTTTTCCTGGTATCAATTAACCCATTTTAATCTTCCCAACAACTCCTATGAGCTGAGCTCTATTATTATCCCCACTTGACTAATAGAATTCTGAGGCTAGGACAGGCTGAATCAGCTGCCCAAGGTAACCCCGAGGAGTCCAACCTGGGCACCTTCCCTCTGGAGGAGCCCTTTCTAGCTGTGTGTCCCTGATCCAGTTGGTTAACCTCTCTGACCCTCCAAAGAGGGGATCCCACCTTCCAGGCCGGGCCAGTGTGAGTTCTTGGGGTATGAGAGTGCCTGTAGAAGTTTTGAGCAAGCTGTAAACATTAGTAACAACAGCAATAAGAGTAATAGTGGTAACTACAATTTTTGAGTGCCAGGCACTGTACTTACTTAAATCTCTGGACAATCTCCCCACTCCCCAGACCGGGAACTATTTCATCCCCATTTTCTGAGGAGACGGTAGCCCTGCTGGAAGGAAGGAATCCCGGGAGGGAGCCGATTGTCTGCTCTGCCAGCCTAAGTTAAGTCACTTCAGGTGGCACATTTGATCAGGCCAGTTTCATGGGGATCCTGAGGCCCAGAGAAGGAAGTGCCCCCCCCCGCCCCCTGACCCTGGGGAGGCTGAAGAGGTCCATGTCTGTGCCTGGAGAGGCTAAGACAGAATTGGGGTGGAGGGCATGAGGAGACAGGAAGTGACTCAGGGAACCGTTGTCTACACTGAGTGAGTCAACCCTGACGCCCCTCCAGGCCCTGGGGCCTGAATGCTGGAACAAGACCATCCTTCCCCACAGGAGCCTGCTGGTAACAAGCTCCAGCTCTCGCCTAGCTCCACTGGTAGAGCTCCACAAGTCCAGCTCCACCAGGGATACCCTGCCAGGCCCTCCACAGTGCAACAATGAGGTGGGAGAGGGTTCAGTTAGGCACTAATAGTAGTAAAAGCAAAGCAACAATAATACCTTTCAGAATAAAA